ATAGATCTCATTTTTGGCTACGTTAACAGTGTGAGTTTTAATTGAAGTTAATCTTAATAGTCCTACTTGGGATAGAAACAGAGGGCTGTAGTTCCTGGAGAGATGCATCATTTAGCAATGTGTAATATACAAGAGAATTAAAAAAGAATCATATGGGAACAGCTGACACTAAGCAAAATGAAAGAAAATGTACATATCATCTGATGTGGAAGAAATGTGGGGAAAATGTGTCTGCATGGAGTGAATCACAGTTGTGCCCTGGAGCTGCCTGGGACTATGAATTGCTTGACACTACGATACTATGTAGACAAAGCAAGGTCATGACACCCATTTGGGACAAATCCATCATATGACACCAGATACATTAAGGTACCCACCTTGACAAGATCAGATTTGAATGAACAATGATTAATCCCATATAGATCCACAAGACAAAATGACGGTGGTTAGGACTAAAAAGGGAAAATGTGTGGAATTCTCATATTCCCCTAGGAAGACTCCATGACTCTTCTGATTATGTTTAGAGTTAAGTGTTGCTGTCTCTAGTTTATTATCTCCCAGAAAGAAGCACAGTTACAGACACTAGTGGATCCTCTTCATGTTAAAAGCTTAGCAAACTTGGAGATGTTATGAGTTCTGGCTTCATAAAATCAAACATGATCATCCTAGCATTCTTCCCAGGGAAGGCTCAGTTTTGCAGTGGCAAATGTTATTTTCAGTCTCCTGATTCTAGGAAATGAGGCCCCATTCCCTTTCAGTTTTAGAAATGAAAAGTCAAAGAGCAACAGCCCTGACCAAATATAGACACTGAGCTGTCTTTGTTACTGCTTAGAGGAAAGAATGACAGCAGCTTTTCCACATGTAGGATTCTTTTAGAAACCACTGGGAGTTTCATTGCGAAGACCCCAAAGGAGTCACAGGAACAACTGACTGCATGTGGCAGACTTGTGCATTGTGATAAAACTTCACATGCTTGAAGTAGAGTAAAAGCAATAAAGGTGGCATTGTACTAGATTATTTCACGAAGAACACAGAGGAGACAGCATCATAGCCTGAGGAGGCAGGGAAGATGGTCAGTGCACTCCTTTGCTCCATGTGTAATTTCCAATGCTATGTCAGGGATATTATTATTAAAAACCAGAGAGGTTAATGGATTAATCAAAAGTCACATGATAAAATACATAATCCCTGGGACAAGTAGCAAAGGTCAAAAGCTATGTACATATGACCAGATAAGTTGAAGTTAAGGGAAATGAACCCCAAGATAGGGACACAAAAGGTTTTTTTCTTTCTTGCTATTGTTTCTAATGTATTTATAAGGTACCATGTGATTTTTTTTTGTGTGGTTTGTATGTTCTTTCCCCACGGTTTAACCTGTTTTCACTGTATTTGATGTCGGTATAATTTGGGGAGGGGAAGGGAAAAAACAATATGTTTATATAAGGATACAGGTTGACACATTGTAACAATGAGATGTAGAAGACACTATGTTGAAAAACGAACTTTCCAATTTAGGTGGGAGGAGTGTAGTTGTGGAGGTGGGAGGGAGAGGAAGGTATGGGAAAAACAAAGGAGGAGGCAACAATGCTTGATAAAAAATGCACTCATTACCTTGCTCATGTAACTGTAACTCCTCTGTACAGTATTTTTACCATAAAAAACTTATTAAAATAAAAAATACATAATCCACATTAAAATATAAATTAGGTGAGATGGCTTTTCAATGTCTTCCTCGTAGACAACAGAAATCTGAATTTAGCTATCACAAGTTTTGGTTTGTTTATGCAAACTTCAGAGGCATCAGAAAAGCTGGAAACAAGGACCTGTGCCAATTTTTTTCTTTTGTCATACAAAGATTGGCTTTCAGCTGGGCCCCAGTGGCTCATGCCAGTAATCCTAGCTACTTAGGAGACTGAGAGCTGAGGATCGAAGTTCAAAGCCAGCCTTGGCAGGAAAGTCTGTGAGACTCTTATTTCCAAATTAACCAACAAAAACAGGAAGTGGCACTGCAGATCAAATGGTAGAGCACTCACCTTGAGCTGAAGAGCTCAGGCACAGCGCCCAGACCCAGAGTTCAAGCCCCCTGGCAAAAAAAAAAATTAAAATAAAGATAATTGGCTTTTTTATGCCCAAACCTAGGTGGCGAGTGGCTTCCGCACCACCAGCATCTGCTCTGCTGTTACTTAGAGCTTTACTAGTAGACAAGTCTCCAGAGGGTACTATTGGCGGAGCTTAATCTAACTAGTATGGGGGAGAAGAGCAGGATGGGTACGTAGCTGTGTACAAGACTCTAAACTAGTGTGCAGATGAAGGAAGCAAATAAAAGAGCCAGAACAGTACAGTCCTGGGAATATTCTTAAAACAGGATCTCAGAGTTAATTGAGATGTTGCACATGAGGTGTAAGAGAACAAGAAATGACTTTAAAGGTTTTAAGTAACTCAAAGATGGAACTGCATTTAGCCACGTGGACAATGCTTATGGTGACATTTGTGAGCAGTTACTGAGATCCTCATTTTGGATATGAAGCCATCAAAGGGGAGATGTCAACGAAGCAGTAGGATGTACGTGCCAGCTTCCAGGCATCCACCTAATACATTGGTTATGGATTATCATTGCTTATTTTCCCAACTCTGCCATCTGAAATGCAAGCTGTTTTGAGACCTCCATGAACTCCTGCCTGCTTGACTCACTGCTTTCTCTTTAATGCCCGAACAATGTTTGGTGCACATAGATGCTCAGCTGGGCGCCGGTGGCTCATGCCTGTAATCCTAGCTACTCAGGAGGCTGAGATCTGAGGATCACAGTTCAAAGCCAGCCCGGGCAGGAACATCCGTGAGACTCTAATCTCCAATAAACCACTAGAAAACCGGAAGTGGCACAGTGGCTCAAGTGGTAGAGAACTCGCCTTGAGCTGAAGAGTGCAGGGACAGCACCCAGGCCTAGAGTTCAAGCCCCATGACTGACAAAAAAAAATCCCCAAAACAAAAAACATAGATGCTCAATAAAATGTACTGGAAGGGCTAATGAAGGAGTGAATGGGAGAGTTAATTGTACAGTACAACAAAAATAGGTTGATTGAGTGAGGATAGAATACAATTAGGAAGTATCTGGGTAAGCAGGCAAAAACATCTCTAAGGAGAGATATTGGCAACCAGAATCATGTAATGCACATTTTCTATGAAGAATTTTGGGAAAAATGAAGAGACATTTGCAAAGCTTCTGTAAACTTTTTATTTTATTCTTATGGGCCACTGCCATCTCAGGGCCTTAGCTTCTGGCTCATTTCTACAGTTACTTGGTGGAAAGATGTGGTAAAGGTAGAAATTGGAAATATCCCTACTAGTAGACCACAGTTCCTTACCAGTCTGTAACCAAAATGCATTTTGAAGCTTGTGTAGTTATTCAGAAATCTATGACTTTCTGAAATTATAAAATAAATTTTATATGAAAGAAACAAAATTCCTTAAAATACAATTGTCTATACAAAATAGTGGGGACCCAAGGCTTATGTGACAGGAACGCCTCACTGTGTATCATGGCCTGATGATAGGGTGGAATCTGACTAACACAGAGAGAAATTCAAACAGCTGGGAACGTGATACATTTCACTGTGACTGTGCTAAAACACAACCCAACACATTAGTTTATCTAATTTATCACCAGCAGTATAGCTGGTGAAGTTCGGTAGAAAAATCACGCAACTTATTAGGATTAGAACAATAATACTTCACAAGGTGTAATGCCTTTGGCTTTAACACAGAAAACAATAGGACTGATTTGTCAAACAACCAACTTAGCAAAACACTGTGTTGCTAACCCATGGTTCTTCCCTTACATGGTGCCCCACCCACCCACCCATACTCCACTTGCCATAGTAACACAGTCCATAAGATCAAGAAACACAGGAGATTCTTGTGTGTGAAGTGGCCAAGGTGGGTTGTTGTGATGAACAGGCACCTAGAAGCCACTTAAGACTGTGTGCTTTGGTACAACCATAAGGCATTATGATTAAGATTATTGAATCTATACAGTCCATTCTTCTCAGGTGTATCACACAAAAATATACAATTGTTCACACATGCGTGCACGTGTGAGCATGCACACACACACATACACATACACACATACACTCTCACAAATAATGAAGGACTTTTTTTCCTTACAGTCTGTAAACATCTGGGAAAATGCCCAGCAAAGTCACGGTGGGCCCTTTGAAATGATGACCACTGGGAGTGGGTGGGGTGGGGTACGGACTTAGTTCATGCTGTCATTCCAGAGAAATGACAAATCAAAGGCTCACAGTGGGAGGAACTGCACTCACTGGTAGGATCAACTACTTTGACCACTTTAAAAGTAGCTTTCATACTTGGAAAAAGGAACTACAAAAAGCTTTACAGCTAGTTAACATTTCAGGAGAAATTAAGAGAATAAAATGGGATAATATATATTACAGAACCCAACAAAAGTTTCCACATCCTCTAAAAATATTCTTCCTCTCCTAGGTATACTTCAGACTTCTACACATTGCACTGAAAGTCTCAGACAAATTTAAATGACAGGTACAAATTTGGAACGTAGCTTTTACATAAAAGGCTGGCTTGTGGAAAAGAGAACTATTTTATCCATATATTAGTATTATTTTTGAAACAAGGTCTTGCTCAATAGCCCAGGCTGACTTTAGACGTGATTCTTCCTCCCTCCCCAGGGTTGGGATTACAGGCATGCATCACCCTGCTGAGACTGCAAATATTATTTTTGAATTTAACCTAAAAATATGTTCAAGATTTTCTGAAAAAAAAACTATTAGGAAAAGAAAGTACATGTTTTAAAAAATTTCTTCAAATAGCAACTATTGAACTGCTACTGAGGATCAATCTGTGTTTTATGTGCCTGATTTTCGGTTGCAGTTTTAGAGTTCATGTGTTAAAAAACAAAACAGTGACATCGGGAACATTTAACCTCATTGCTTATCTCAATATTATTTTTTGTTCTTTTTTTTTTTTTTTACAAAATATATGTAAATTAGCTCAAACAGTTCTAGGCTATTATACAGTAAAAAAAAAAATACTGGCACTGAATGACATTTCAAAGAAAAGTGTCCAAAATCCATGTTATGCTTGGCCAAAAAAGAAAAATATTTGGTCTCAATTTCTCAATTCTTCCGATGACCAGTTGTTGTGGAACGCTGCATAGAACCACCATCAAAGCTGGTCATGTACTCAAAACTGTTTTCATGCAAAGGTAGCAAAAAATCCTTCTGGCTTCATTGAACAGGCTCCATTCTCTCCCACTCCTGCCATTTTTGAGTGTTTGAACATGCAGAATATATGAGCTTAAGTAAAGAAGATTCATGGATATAAGCTAGTCCACTCTGGCGAAGCACTTGTAGAATACATTGGGGGAAGTGGGACTGAGTGAAGGAAGAGGAGCTCAGAAGAGATTTCCGGAGACATAGTTGCCAGATGACAAGTCCCCTGCAGGACTTGAAGGAACATGGATCCACGTTTCTTCAATGGTTAGTTAATGCTGTCTTTGTGGCTGCTCCTCTCTGTGTTGTGATTGTTTTGGTCGTGGTTTTTCCACTGGATGCTTGTTCCATTCATGGGGACTGAGGTCATCAGGCTTTTAGATTGGTGACAGCAGCAACAGAGACACGACTAGGAGAAGGAAGAGACTGTAAATAGCCCAAGCGAGCCTTCTTGCATGTCCCCAGCCAAACACAGAAGCTGATGCCCACACACGTAGTAGTGGGTAGTAATCTAGAAGATCACTAGACAGTAGACCGCTCACCAGGGTGGAGTGAGAGGTTTCTGGCTCCTCAGTTCTAATTCTATTTGCCAGGTGGAGGAGGAAGGGAAGGTGGCATTGCCAGAAGGAAACTTCTCAGCTTAGGCGGGGGGGGGGGGTAGGGAAGGGCCTCTGGGCATGAGTCCACTCCCTGCATATGGCACTCTTTGCACCAGGGGCTTTACCTGATCCTCACTACAGCCCTGAGTAAGAGGTGCTGTTTGCCCTGCTTTATGAATGGAGGAGGATGGTGAGGCCTTGAAAGAATAAAAGGGACAACTGGAACTAGAGCCTGAGACACTCTAGCCTGGGCTCTTTCCCTTAGGTATATGCCTTCTTTAGGAAGACCTGTGAAAAATATGTTCAATTCTAAGAATTTGTATCTCATTTTCCCCTTTCCCCCTAATTAATGGTGTCTAATTCAAATGTCAATAGTGAGCACACAATATCCCCGTCAGTATGTGTGTTAGTGAATCCATTTGAGAAACAGCATTTTGTGATGTAACATTTTCAAGGTGATCTAAAAAAATAGGGCAGCTGAAACTTCCATACCGTTTCCTCCCTTTGTATGATTCTTTGGTTGGTAAGTCTGTCTCCTTTTAGATGATAAATTCTGGAGGGAAGTAACTAGGCTTTCTTTTGCCATTCTATCTGTAATAATGATCAACACGTCCTCAGCATTTAGTCTCAAAAGCTTTACATTTAGCACATTGAGCTCTGCTCCTCTGAGATGGTTATAGTGGCCATCTGATTTTACAGATAAGGAAACTAAGAAAGCAGAAGAGGCATCAAGCAATCCTGAGTCAGACAATTAGCCAGTGCAGAGCTGAGATGTCAGTCAATGTTGCTTGCTTCCTGATTCCCTGCTTTTGACCTTGACCTCCATGCTACTCTTCCCATTAAGTCCTATGAGCCCCAGTTTGCATTCACTCTCTGCTAAAGTCATTTGAGGAACTGGAAAAGTAACACAGCAATAACATGCTGGGGTCCTCTGCAGGGTGTACCGGGCTTAGCTGGAGGAAGTTTTGAAAACAGAAGAAAACTGAACGTATGGTAATACTGCCATAAGCACATACTCTCCTTGAAGAAGCCGTTACTAACTAAATGCATGATTTGACCTCATTTAGTGAATTTTGTTAAGTCTAAGACAATGGAAGGCAAAAATCAGTTTTATGTACTTAATTTTCCTGGAACTCACCTTGGAGAATTTTTAAAAAGAAAGTACTCAACTGCCATGCAATTAAGATAATCCTTTTAGTTTTAACCTCCAAATAGGCTGTTGTCAGAATAGACATTACTTTTCTGCTCTGCTGACAACCTGACACTTTTTAAGTAACAGGCTGTGATTTTCACCTCTCCGATGAAAAGGAATAGGGCTGATCAAAATAGTATTAGGATTGGAATTGGTTGTGCCTATTGATTAACTAACCTACTCATTTGGCTGTCCTTAAAAAATGCTTACAAAGCAATCTTACCTGGAAACAATTTTTAAACTTCTTGCTCACAAAATACAGAGCGATCGGATTTATACAGGAATTCATGGTTGCCAAATTAATACCGATGTAATCCATGAGCAGCAAGAAACTAGAACAAAGGAAAATGGTGTAGAATAATCAGATCATATTGTTTTAAAATGTGCTCAGCAGCGCTGATCCCTGGGATAAGCATTTTTCTTGCCCAGAAGTCATGTCTTATAAGGTGGCAGTTGGAATTTTGTAAAAAGGTGCCTGTTCAAGTGGCAGTTTCGGTGCTGCAGGATGGGTACAAAGAGATCAGTCAGTGCCTAGCTTAGCTGAAACCGTCGTGCACAGCCTCGGGAGGGGAAAGGCAAGATTACAAACATGGCTTGCACAAATTTGGGGAATCCATTATGGGTTATGTCAGCTAAAAAAAAATCACCTTTGCAAATTTAATTTTCCTGGCTAATCAAAATGTAAACTAGATGGGAAAACTTTGTATATGGGAAAAGCAGCGAGCCCTCAATTTCCTAGTGGGTGCACGGAATCATACCTAAGCAGTTCACAGCGGTTTGTGTCCATCTCATCGTACACAGTTTTCTTCAAAATGCGGCTCAAGTGCAGAGGAAACCAACAGAGTGCAAAAATTACAACCAAGCAGAACACAGTTTTCGCCACTTCTCGACGCTGCAGGAAAAAAAAGGAAACACAGGCACAGAGAGTTTAGATACTTAAAGTTAAAACAACTATTCAACAGGGTGAAGGGTATCTGAGGGGAAGACTGACTCAGAGAAGAACAGAATGGCCCTCTCACAAAACCTCTCTTCCTCAAGGTGTGGAGTGCCAGTCTCTCATGAAGGGGTTGTGAAGAATGCTTTAGGACAGCTGCCAGGAGAGATGCTATTTGGGGCCAGGACAGAGCTGGGAATCGCTGGACAGAGTCAACACAGTGGCTGAGTTGACATGTATGTGTGGATAGAGGTGGCAGTAAAGGCATGGGGGGAAAGGGTTCATTAAAAAGACAATAGCTCAGTGGTAACGTGCTTGCCTTGCACGCATGAGGCCCTGGGTTTGATTCCTCAGCACCATATAAACAGAAAAAGCTGGAAGTGGCCCTGTGGCTCAAGTGGTAGAGTGACCGAAGATCGCACCCAAATGAATGGACACATGTACAAAGACATTAGGAATTGGGGAAATAGAAGAGACAAAACATGGATGTTTTCTCTCTTGATCTTGAAAAATCTAACGCTATATGAAAATGTCCTCTTGTTTATTATTATTTATTTTGAAATGGCATCTTGCTTTGTTGCTCAGGCTAGTCTACAATTCCTGGACTCAAGTGATCCTCTTGCTTCAACTTTCCAAGCCCTGGGATTACAGTGCACGCCACCATGTCTGGCTTGATTTTTTTAATTTCTTTCGAAATACAAGATTATAGGGTCATTATTTAATGCCACCGGGTGGAAAAACTTGTTGTGAAACAACCTTGGTTTTCTTTTCTTCTTAAATCCCTTTATTAATGGCTTGTAGTGAAAAACCAAGGATGAGGGTAGAGGATTGTCGTCAATGAAGAATATAAAATCTAGTGCATGCTGACTCTGGGATGACTTCAGCGAAAGGTTTACACGTCTTTGTGTCTGTTCTTTACAAGCAAAACCATAGAATTATTGTCCAGCATTCAATTGTGTGCATCAGGCTTGAGTTTTACATTAATGTATTTAGAAGCTTTAACTAAGAATGTAAAATGTAACTGATCTGTAGCTGGGATCATTTAATGTTCATCAATTTCTTTTTTTTTTTTTTTTCTGCCAGTCCTAGGGCTTGAATGCAGAGCCTGGACACTATCTCTGAGCTATTTTTGTTCAAGGCTAGCACTCTACCACTTGAGCCCCAGTGCTAGTTCCAGCCTTTTCTGTTTATGTGGTATTGAGGAATTGAACCCAGGTCTTCATGCATGCTAGACCAGCACTCTATCAGTAAGCCATATTCCCAGCTCAGTTAATGTCAAAATAAAATTGAGTGAAAATGGGTCGGAAAGGTGATGCTTGTTCAGCCTGGAAGCTTTTAACATGAAGTCCTGGAAGCCTATAGTAAGCCCACGTGGTTGGCTGAGCCATTTGAAAAGGCTCTCCTGCAATTCTCACAAATTGTTGCTCTGGCCCAAGGAACTGGGAGCTCTTCAGTCTTCCATATTTGTAGTCTAGCTAGGAGATGGAGTCAGAGCGATGATGTGAGGAAAGAGAGAAAACCTTCCAGTCTGCAGGAGGCAGGGGACATTTTAAGGGGTCATTATCTGCAGAGAGACAGTTCACCCAGAAAATTACAGAGAGAAAGAATTCAGGAAGGGTCTACCTTCTCTGTATATGTCCTCTTCAATACATCTGCACATCACCATAGCAATTTGATAGTGACTTAATCTACCATCGGCTCTCATGTCCTGTTTGTCTTAATACAACTTGGAGCCCTAATTTTGTTGTGGCATCTGGGGAGACTAATTATCTCCATGGTAATATGACAGTTCTGACTAACTTAAGAAGTTGCTGTATGGGTTCTTGGGAATGTTAACGGAAGCAGGGAAGGAGTGCTGCTTTGGCGCATACACAAATGTGTTCTGCCTTTTCCCTTCTTGCTACTTAGAAACCAAATATAAAAGTCAAGCTGCTTCTGCTGCCTCCGTGGCTGAATGATCAGCGGAGGCAGACACTGGCTTCTAAATTCCTAGGCCACTGAACTATAGCATCTGATTTTTTTTTTTTTTTTTTGCCAGTCCTGGGGGTTGACCTCAGGGCCTAGGCATTGTCTCTGAACTTCTTTTGCTCAAGGCTAGCACTCTACCACTTGCGCCACAGCACCACTTCTGGCTTTTTCCACGTGGTGTGAGGAATCGAACACAGGGCTTCGTGCATGCTAGGCAAGCACTCTACCACTAAGTCACATTCACAGCTGTGAATGTTTTTTGTTGGTTGTGGGGCTTGAACTCAGGATCTGGGTGCTGTCCCTGAGCCTCTCTGTGCTCAAGGCTGGCATTCTACCACTTGAACCACAGCATCACTACTGGTTTTTGAGTGGATAATTGAAGATAAGAGTCTCACGAAGACTTTTCTGCCCAGGTTGGCTTCGAACTGCAATCCTTAGATCACAGCCTCCTGAGTAGCTAGGATTTTAGGCGTGAACCTAAAACCAGCACCTCGTTAGCATCTGAATTCTTTGCAGAGGAGGACTCTCAGAGGTCAACTCACTCTTACCTTTGGGTTTTCTCTTACCAGCATCCAAACACAATATCTAATAGATAAAATGATTGCCACTATCCTGATTAGAAACCACTAAGCCAGAAGCAAGGACAAGAGCTTTGTAGAATCCTAGAGCAGCAAGATTTCCTTCTCAATGCTGACTTTCCACAGTTCTACCCAACAGATTCCAGAAAGCCTTGCTTTACTCCCATTTAGAACTTGTAGCAAAGCTGGGCACCAGTGGTTCACACCTGTAAACCTAGCTACTTAGGAGGCTGAGATCTGAGGATTGCAGTTCAAAGCCAGCCCGTGCAGGAAAATCTGTGAGACTCTTATCTCCAATAAACGACTCAGAAAACCAGAAGTGGTGCTGTGACTCAAGTGGTAGACGCTAGCCTTGAGTTGAAGAGCTGAGGGACAACACTCAGGCCCACAGTTCAAGCCCCACGACCAACAACAACAAAAAAAGAACTTGTAGCAAAACGAAACATTAATTACAAGGGGACCAAATCGTCAGTTCTAATCTCCACTTGGTTAAATAAATCTCTGAAGCACCAGTATAATAAGAGTATTATTTGTCTTACCTACCGGTGCTTAGAGCAATCCAATAAGAAAAAGACAAGAAAATGTTCTTTAAAAACTTGAAGTGCCAGGTGCTGATGACTTACACCTATAATCCTACCTACCACAATTTGAGGATCATGGTTCAAAGCCAGCCTGGGAAGTTTGAGGATCATGGTTCAAAGCCAGCCTGGGAAGTAAAGTCCATGAGACTCTTATCTCCAATTACTTACCAGAGAACTACTTTGAGCTACAGCTCAAAGCACTAGCCTTGAGCACAAAAGCTCAGGGACAGTGTCCAGGCCTAAGTTCAAGACCCGCATATAAATATGAAGTAGTATATTATTATTGTTCCAAATCCCAATTGTTTTCAAAGCAGGTACAATCATAGTTCAAATAGACTTTACCATGATACTAATGCAATAACAACAACAACAACAAAATAAACCCAAAATTTAAAACACTATTTTTCCCAAATCTATTCTAATTAATTTCATTTGTTGCAGGGGTGAGTTAACAATTTGTTAACATTTTTCCACCTGAAGTATTTTAAACATTCATGCCTGAACAAAGTCATACTAAAGTTTCTTAATAAATCGTCTTGCTAAATGTTAATAAAAGATAATAGCTACCATTTGTATGACACATTGGATTTTATATAGTACACACATGCACATCAATTCCTTTAATTCTCATAACAACACTGATTCATATATTATTAAGCCCAATTTACAGATGAGGACTTGAAGTTCAGAAAAATTGGTGTACTAATTGAAGAGTTGTTGGTGAGGAATGATGCTTGTGTGTGGTAATTATAGATTTAAGAGAGACCATCATAACTCACACTGACTTCTAGTGTGGTGGGATGTTTGTATATACTTCTCTGCTGTGACCTAGAACTGTGACCTAGAACCTAGAACTCTTAGCAAATAGAACAGGTTGTGCAACACTAGCTTCCTACTGTTGCATTCAAATTTCTTCTAGAATTTTGGGTCCTCCAAAAGTGAATATCTCTACATGCTTAATTCTATATGCTATCATGAATCTTACTTTAGATGTTGCTTTTTGAAATTCATCTTGTATTTCTCACTTGTCTTCCATGCCCCTCTTCCATGCCCCTCCAATTAGAAGAGCCCCCATTTCCCAAACATATGTCCCCTGTCCTCTTCTTCATCAAATACAATTTACCCTCCAAGGCATGGTTCAATTTCCCTCATTCATGAACAGTTTCTCCATGACTTTATCTCATGTACCACCTGGCTTTCTATAATACAGGCTACTTGGAATGTATTTCTGTTCTCTAATTGTTTTGTGCTTGTATTCCAACAAGTAGATGGCAAAGCTTGTAAGGGAAGAAACTCACAAGCTTCATTCTGCTCTGGCATAGTTCCAAGCCCAGTGCGATGCAGACATATATGCATGCACATGTGCTCAATGTACTTACTCTTGGCACAATCACCAAATAGTTGCCTTCTCTCTGTGTCCAGCCCTCTTGACTATTTCACAGGCAAGTTCGCTATCTCACAGAAAAACATAACACTACAACTATAAAGAAAGCAGTTACAAGACAGTATTTTTGTTTTTAGGAAACCAGGTTAAATGTGCTATGCACAGTATGGTCATGTATCACTTAAGCACAGGAATGTATTTTTAGAACTGCATTGTTAGGCAATTTTGCCATTGTGCAAAAGTATACTTCGTTTTTATAGCTTACTCCATACTAGGCTATCTGAGAAAGCCTGGTGCACCTAAGCTTCAAACCTGTACAAATGTTTTTTTTTTTTCTGTACAGATGTTTCTTTACCTATACTATAGGCAACTATAACACAATGGTGTTTGTGTGCGTGTAAATATAATTAAGCATAAGAAAAGTTCAGTAAAATAAATCCTAGGCAATGAAACACTTACAGCATATGTGTATATGTGGTTGGACAAAGCTGTTAGGAAACAAATCGATTCATATGTCAGCCTGAGGACTTCTAGGAGCCGTGGCCAGGTTTCCTCATTGTAACCAATGTACCTGTTTGAGATGTTCGCTGAGGGCAATCCTCAGGCTGCCGTTCCTTCTATTCAACATCTCACACGTCATAAGGGTGTAGAAGATCGCAGTGCACACCAAAGGCATGCAGAAGTAAAACCCAAAGAGCCACCAGTCCTTCACATCTTGGTAGAACTGTCCAGTGAAGAAAAAGGACAAAGGAATATAAATTAATTGTAGACCACTCTGGTCACTTCAAAATCTCTGTATCTACAGGTGTATTTTTTTTAATTCATGTTCTGTGCTGGGAATAAAGACCTCAGGGTTGTGCTAAAAAATGTGACTCTTTTTCCCTCTAGTTCTGGAGCTTAAACTCGGGCCTGAGTGCCATCCATGAGCTTTTTTTGCACAAGGCTAGTGTTCTGCCACATGACTCACAGCTCCACTTCCAGCTTTTTGTTAATAAGCTAGAGATAATAGTCTCACAGACCTTCTTGTCTGGATTGGCTTTGAACCCTGATCCTCAAATCTCAGCCTCCTAAGTAGCCAGGATTATAGACATGAGCCACTGGTGCCTGGTAAAATGTGATTTTTTTTTAAAACTTAGAATTTTTAGAAATTATTCTGGCTTGCTAATAGCACATAAAGAAACTGCATATGAAAAACGTTATCAGGACAAAGATACTTTTTGTAAGCTGAAGTTGACTTCAGTTACACAATGGAAGAACCCTAATCAATAAAAAACATTCTTTTCTGAGGCTCATAAAACATAATTTGAGACATGTTTGTCAACATTTTGCCAGAGCTTTGTTGACTTTTGATGATTGTGGTTAATATGAATATTTTGTGAGGTAGCCTTGAAGGTTCTGAGAGGCTATTCTATGTAGCTGTGGCTAACAAGAGTTAACCCTTTGCCGGGTATGCCTGCAGTGTGACCCCAAAGCCAGCAAGTGGAAGCCTTCAATAACTCTCCTCACCTTCCTTTACCTCCACCTGGAAACTATTGAAGCAGCTTATCTGCAGGCCAATTTAGCGTCATCTCACTGTGGGCAGGACTTTGTAAATAACAAGATGGTTTAGATTTACGTTTGTTTTTTTTTTTTTTTTTTTTGCCAGTCCTGGGGCTTGAACTCAGGGCCTGGGCACTGTCCCTGAGCTTCTTTTGCTCAATGTTAGTACTCTACCATTTGAGCCACAGCGCCGATTCCAGCCTCTTCTATCTATGTGGGACTAAGGAATCAAACTCAGGGCTTCATGCATGCTAAGCCACATTCCCAGCCTCAGATTTATGTCTTTATAAAGGAGAAAACTTAAAAGTTGGAAAATGATATCTTTATCTTTTTTTTTTTTTTTTCCTGGTCCAGGGGTTTGAACTCTGGGCCTGGGTGTTGTCGCTGAACTTCTTTCTGCTCAAGGTGAGCGCTCTGCCACTTGAGCCACAGTGCCATTTCCATCTTTTTTGAGTAGTTTATTGGAGATAAGAGTCTCACGGAGTTTCCTGCCCAGGCTGGCTTCAAACCATGATCCTCAGATACCAGCCTCCTGAGTAGCTAGGATTATAGGCCTGAGGCAATGATGCTGGGTGATATCGTCATTCTTATTTCCATTAAATTAATACCAACCTGAGAGATATACTTCTTTAATATGTCTCCAGATTATTCATCTGCTAAAAAATAATACAGCCTCCTGTGACATCCAAATTCTGCCCCTTTCACACACAAAAGTCGGCTGCTCTGTGAAAAACTGGATGATTTCTGAATATAGAAAGTAGCTCAGTGGGCTACACCTACAGTTTGTCTATTAAAATAATGACTCCCAAACCAGGGGGCTGGTGGCTCACACTCTAATCACAGCACTCAGGAGGCTGAGATCTGAGGCAGCCCTTGACTCTTATCTCCAGTTAACCAGCAAAAAAGCTGGAAGTCGACATGTGGCTCAAGTGGTAGAGAGCCAACTTTGAGCAAAAAAAGCCAAGAGAGCCTGAGGCCTTGAGTATAAGCTTCAATATCAGCATACACAGAAAAACAATGGTTCCTGAAGACTAGAGGTTCAGTGAAAGGATTCTGCCTATTTGTTTTGTCACAGACCCCTTTTGGAAGTCTGATAGTCCGTTCTAAGAAAAATACTGTCATATGATAAAACCAAATATTATTTAATTGTAACGGAAGTCAATTATATTGAATGTAGCCAATTACAATGGAATGTGGCTATCAAAAATAAAATTAAAATAATGTATATGTTTATCAACAAACTAAACAGAAGACATGGTGGCTCTAATAACTGCCAAAATGTTGAAGCAGTATGAGCACACATTTTATGATTACAAAAGTCTATTTCTACAAGTGGGAAAGCCATGGTACTCTTAAATACTATTGTGGTTTGTTGCCTACATTCATAATTGAAGGAAATGATAGATTTCACTTAGAAGCTAGAGGAAAATCAACATAGTTTCTTTCCCATCCCCCACCACCTCAGGTTATATTCAAATTCCCAGAAAAGTTAGGTTATTGAAATCTGCTTATACAGCTATTTTCCTACTCTCACCACCCCAAGCACACATTGCAGGATTTTAGTTTTGAGCTTAAAAAAGCATCAAAGGTCTCCTCCTTTGTTCTGAAGTGAAGGGCAACCCCTTTCTTTCCTTGGGAGCTCCCCACTGGCCCCCTTTCCCTATTTCTGATTTGTTGTCTCTCTTCCCCATGCATTTCTGGTTGAGTACAAATGACCCACAAGCAGCTGCAGAGTCTGGAAGCTGACCCTGAGGGCTGGATGGAGTCCTTGCCCCCATGACAGAGGCCTGTTGAGAAAAAGGTCATAGGTTTCTTTTGAACTGGTACCATCAGCAAGAGATTGGAAAGGCCTCAGGTCAGTCTAGGGCACAGATTGACTCTAGGGTAGAGTTGAGGAAGGAAGACTTGAAGAAAGAGGGGGAAATTAGAAGAGAGAATGAAGCTTTAGACTTTGAACTAACTCTGAGGCTGGTTCAACTCAGACCCTTCACTGCAAGCCTGCCTGCATAGTTGCTGAAAATGGATACAGAAGACCCAGGCTAAATGAAATAACCCATTTTATTTTGTCCAGCCCAAATGATTAGTACGTGCTGATCTTGTGTTGATTAGCATGTTTTCCTCTGGAAAACCTAGACTCCCATTCACACTGCCTGGATTCTAATAATCTGCTACTGTCTGGTGTATCGTTAGGAAGACTGACCTAATTAAAAATGGATAAATAGAAGACTTCAGCTTCAAGGTTGCCAGGTGGGCTGTTGTCATGAGCACTTTTAATTTAAAACAAGAATTCCTGAGCTGGATAGCTGGTCATGGATAAGACCACTAATGTGGTGAATTCTCTACTTTAGAAAAGAATACCTGGAGATTTCTGTAAGTGTTAGAAGTGGAATCTGAGCTGCATGCTGCTTACATCAAAGCACTAAAGCTGATTTAAGAGCCCTGGTCACTCTAGTAGCTCTCTCTCAGACCTGTGTAAGTAGTTTTGCAAAGGAAGCATGCATTCTAAACGTGTCACCCAAACACTCAGACATGGGCTTATGCTTAAGAGAGAAACATTGATGTGGTCAGGTTAACTGAAGAACATCTGAATTTGTTAAACTAAAATACCTTTTGAAATGTTCTGAAATTTTGCATATCAGACCTACACTCTACACTTTGACTCAGTAAATCCACCTGTAAAAAAAATAAGAGGGAACCAGGAGCTGGTGCCTCATGCCCATAATCCTAGCTACTCAGGGCCTATGATTTGAGGATCAAGATTTAAAGCCATCCAGGACAGAAAAGTTTATGAGACGCTTATCTCCAGTTAACCACCAAGACATTGGAGCTGTGGCTTAAATGGTAGGACACTATTCTTGAGCACAAAAGCTTAAGGACAACACCGAGGACTTGAGTTCAAGCCCTAGTATATACATATACTTATCCCCTTCACCCTCCCCCCTCCACCCCTACCCCGGGCCCTGACAAACACACATACGTGGTATATTTCCCTAAGAAGCATGAAATAAGCATTTGCATTTTAGTAGATGGAATTTCTTATGCTGTGTTCCTTATTATAGAAATAAATAGGATTCTGTACATATACACCTTGTGCTTTTCTTTGGTAAATGAACTTTAGAATTCTTTTTTTTTTTTTCTTGTCAGTTGTGGGCTTGAACTCAGGGCCTGGGCGCTGTCCTTGAGCTTTTCTGCTCAAAGTTAGCACTACCACTTGAGCCATAGCACCACTTCTGGTTTTCTGGTGGTTAAATAGAGATAAGAGCCTCATGGACTTTCCTGCCTTGGGCTAACTTTGAACAGCAATACTCAAATCTCAGCCCCCACTGAGTAGTTAAGATTACAGCTGTGAGCCACCAGCGTCCTGCTGAACTTTAGAATCTTAATTGTGCTATGAGACAAGATTAGGAGGCAAAATTGTTCTATTCAGGAACTAAACACTGGCTTAACATCTCCTTTTCATGAAACTGTATAATGTCTGAACTGACAGAGTATAGCACCCCTCCCTCCACTGGGGAGATATCAGTAAGTTTTAAGATGATGGAGAACCAATATGTCCTCCTCTCCTCTCCTCTCCCCAGTTAATTCCTTATAAAGTTTGGCCAAGCTTTATATTTAATTATCTTTAATTTAATACGTCTAGTAAATTTAGTGAATTGTAAGACTCCCAGCACCTCCATGAACTTGGATGTGGCATTGAGCATACAGGTTTTGTGCTGTTCACCCCTGTATTCAAAGGGGACCATGACAAAACCGATTGCTTCAGGGATGGCCAGGATAAAGGAAAGGATCCAAATAGAGACGATTTCGATAGCAGTAATCAAGGGAATTCCAATTCCTTGAACTCGACTCCAGGAGGCGACTGCTCTGTACCTGCAAAAAGAAGATCGAAAAGATGAGGTGATAACATCAAGTCTTTAGGATATTTTAAACTTATTTTAACTGAATATAAGTTATAATTCTAGAATGCTCCTTCCTTTGGCCAATGACCAACCATAGCCTTTTTAGGAATTTTTGGTGAGTCTTGAGTCTTGAGTCAGGGCCATGATGAGTTCCATTAATTCAGAATCCAATTTCCAGGCAGGCCTGAGTCTAAGAGCTGTATTTGAGATTTAGAGAAATCTTGAGAGAGTCAGACTGTGTCAACAGCAGAGAGATATGCCTGGGTGTTTTAACTGGATGGTGGAAAGTGTAGTAAGAATTGCTAGTACTTTTCATACTAACAAAAATAGCCATATCTATCCTTCTGTATCCATGAAGTAGCTTTAGATATCCTTGAGTAAACAGTGACCTTAGATCCATCTTCCACAATCAAGATCTCATTGCCATGTGTTCATAGTGGGTGGCATTGTAGTCAATATTATTTCTGGTAAATGTCAAAGGATGACTGACTCATAGTTCTGTTCTAGAGTGTATAAAACGGAGTTAAAAAATACCTTGGTTACTAATCTTTAGGGGTTACAATCTAACAAAAAAAGATCATATAGAGTATAGGATATAAATGTCAATTAAAAACTGATGTTAAAAATTATGTCTTATGTTTTAACAGTTAATATGATAGATTTAATGTTATATGTATTCTACAGCTACCATTTAAATAGAATAAACACACACACACACACACACACAAGATAGTAAGATAAGGATTTTCCCCCATCAGTTTTACCTGTCTTTAAACTAGTATTATTTTCAATGATTATTAGTGCCATAATAAGCCTTTGAAGGTGGTCACAGCTGAATTAAAAATTATACTTTAAAATTGATTTGTTTTTTTAAAATTCAATATTTTTATGGTAGTCACAATTAAATGTCACTTCAAAAGGAAGTGTGGTTTAGAAACTTGGTGCTCTTTGACCTGATGTGATGGTCTGATGCTAAATGCTTTCAGACATACTATTAAGAAAAGGTTTGGGACATGGCATGGTTTTGTGGCTTCATTCTTGAAATTTTTGTTGCTGTTGTAATGGAAAGGAAACCTTTTCTTTTTATAGCTTTTAGTAGATAGTGCCAGGAGACTATAAAACAGACCAAAGCATTAGAGACAGGTGCTTTTGTATTTTCAAGACATACAACTTACTGTAGAAGATTACTCACAAAAACCAAGGAAATGTACAAGCTACCTAGGCCATCAGGAAGAGCCCTTACCCTTTATATTCAACTGTTAAAATCTGTCCACATAGTATAGCTGGGAAAACACAACTCTTTGGAATCATGATGTCTAATTCTTTACCAGAATCACTTACAGATTATTTTCGATAGTTTTAGGTATATATAACTCAATTTTTTGGAGAAACGTTTTGCACAACCTTTTTGGGGTAAACAAGATCTGTGTACAATAAGTCTCTAGAGAAAGTCCAGGTGTGTTCAGAATGGAATAAAATACAGGCATGCAAATAGATCAAAGAAATCCCTTTTATAATACAGTCTAGATTGCATTGAAGAATTTATGGATTTTTTGGTAGTAAGATACAAATCCTGGTTTATTTTGCTTTTCATCTCTATTTGTTTTGCCTTGTTGCCTTATTGAACGGGTAGGCCTGATGACCAGTGAAAGCTCAAGTTCCGGAATGGACATGAGCCATCTGTATCTCAAGACTGCCAGCTAAGTTGTAGCTGTTACTTCCTCTCTTTCTTAAGCTCAATTAGGTGACTTTAAAAAATACTTCACTTCGTCTTAAAATAATAAAGCCCAGCTTCTTAGCCAGGATTTGGGGCAGAAGGTGGTTTAATTAGGGAAATGGGATCAGTGAGATCTTAGGATAAATACATTCACAAACAAGCTTCATTTTATAATGTGCTTTAAGTTCCCAGAACATGACACATTGCTGTGGTTTTGATCATATTTCCAAAAGGCCATATGTGTTAAAGGCTTGGTTGCCAGCACTTTCACACTTGCTGGGTGGTGGTGGAACCTTTAAGAGGTGGAGACTTGTGGGAAGAAGTCAGGTCAGTGAGGTCTTGCCCTTGCAAGGGAATGTGAGATACTGGCTACTCCTTCCCTCTGTTTTCCCTCTCACCGTGGTATGCTGCCTCCCCAGACCCAAAGACCAAGATCTGACCAGGGTCAGAAACCTCTAAATCTGTGAGCCAGAACTAACCTTTCCTCCCTAGAAGTTTAATACCTCAAGGATTTTGTGACAGTGATGGAAAATTAATCACCACAGAACCCACTCATAAAAACAAAACCTGAGGATGGGGAGACAAGAGGGCTGGTGTGGGGCCACACTCCGCTTGGTCTTCAGTTAGGGTCAGGGCTCTGGTGGGCAGACTCCCAGGGAAGTGTTTTCTCATTGCATTACCTTTACCTTATCAATCTACATGCCAGAATGAAAGGAAAAATGGTGTTTTATTTATGTGAAGACGTTTGTCACCAGTAGATTTTTACAATTTCAATGTGGAGGCACTTTATGCATGTATACTGAAGGTATGGACTGAATCATTATGTTCAAAACATTTTATGATTATACAGACTTAAAAACATTGTAAAAATAGAACTTCAATCCCAGAGACATCATATTAACTAAATCTATTTTTATTTTTCTCATTCTTTGCCATTGCTGTTCTCAAAGGCAGAGTTTGAAAACATACTATAATTACATCAGTTCCAACTTTATGCTTTGCTCTGTTTATATAAGAAAATGATTTGCCCGTGTGTCTACATAGACATGACACTTATCAATTTAATGGCATAGGATTATACAGTATTTGCTGAAATCTTTCTCCTAGGTTGGTACCATTTCTAATGTTTCATGGTCGTGAATGACAAAATGCTTGAATATATGGATTTATTTCCTCTTTATGAGTGGTGTTCTGGATGAATTATCCTAGGGGAATGGGGGTTGTTGAATCAGGGGAATGAGAAAGTGGCTCAAATACTTTTCTTATCTTTTGAGACATAGGTCTAGTTATGTTGCCCAGAAGCAGCCTCAAACTTGAGATCCTCCTTCCTTAGCTTTGCAGGTTGTGCGATTACAGGTATGAGGCATCACACCTTGCTTAAGCACCTTAAAAAAGTTTTTAACAATAAGTGTCTTTTGGAAAGTGCTTGCCATCCTTGGAATGTGTTTATTTTCTCCAATTTTGCCACTTCTGTAAGGTAAAGGAGCATTGCTACCCATCTTGGAGAGTGACCATTCTCCAGGTTGTTTATGATTTATATCTCTTACACGACAAACAAACTGATTGCCACAGGCGGGTTAGAGGAAAACTACTAGCAGAAACCAGGTAGACTGGGTTAAAAGAGACCTACAAGTGCATCTATGCAATTTTAGCTTGCCCTGGCTCATCTGACAATGGATCCTCATTAGATGGATGCCTTGCCGCCATGTGGTCAGCCTGTCGCCAGCAATGGCAGGTTCCATGCTGCAGCTCCAGCCTTCTGGAGTAGAGTGTCCAGGGCCCTGCAGCTCTGCAAGAGGAAGGTGAACTCTTCTGAGCTAACACTTCTGCTGTCCCTTGCCAAGGCGCCAGACGTGTGCTCTGTGGACCCGGGAGACAAGCTCAGCACCAGCTGAAATCTACTACCCACCTCTAGTTGGAATGACAAGAACTGCCCGAATTCCTGATCTATAACATGGTGAGATATGATAAAATCATATTTTAAATGGCTGAGTTTGGAGTAGCTGGTAATTGGAGAGAAATGGGGTAGCAATATTCACCAGTGGCCTGAAGATAAGAGATGAGTGACAGGGAACAGACCCCAAATAAGATCCCAAGCTGCCCTAGCAGACCCCTCTCTCCTCTCCTTGGGTTCAGCTCCATCTTGGGTCTGTATGCTGGCTAAGCAGCATTTAAAAACCATATCGCCAGGAGAATAAGAAGAAAACAAGCCCAAGTCTAAGTAAAACAAGGTTTTTCAGAAAATCACCTTCATGCTAACTTGAGTGATGATAATGTTTGAGAACAGCATTGAGATCACTAAGTGATGATTTGAAATGATGGGTTGGAGAGCTGACACCAGATTTTCAATTTGAGGCATCAAACAAACCTGCTTTATGAATGGGTCTTTGCAACTTCTCCAAGTACCTATTTAAACATCACTCTGGAAGAGTTGTTAAAGGAGTTTTATCTTTTTATAGCCTTTCTCACTAGTCACCTTTTAACTATAAGTGGGATTCGCACCTACAGTTGTTCATGTCTGACCTACACCATCATCTCCTATTTTAAACAGGACTGAAACTTTACAAAGAACAATACCCCATAGCCTTCCTCCTCCTGCTCTTCTTCTTCCCTACCCCAAACTCAAAATAACACATATGTCATGCAAAAAAAACCTATCTTAATAGCTCATCATTCATATTTTCCTGGGAAAAGTTCATTCATTTTAATGCCTCAGCATTAAAAGCTTATTTTGACCCTCTAAGCAGGGTTGAAATTTGTGCCTTTTTCTGAAATTCCTTCTCTTATTCAGAAGAGACTAAGAATGTAAGATTAAAGATTTTAAAAAGTTCAATTCAAGGAGAAATTAGTAAAAAGGTTAACCCTGACAAGTCACAGTTGAGCAATGAAAGGTCATTCTTTCTGGTAAACCCTATGTTTTCTCTTACTCTTTTGTTTATCTCAGGCTGATCAAAGACTGGTAGTGAGAAAGCTGGGACTTTTCTTTGATCTTTCAATGTTCTGTAATCACAGAGTGATTGATGAAGTAACAAAGAAATTCAACAGAGCTCGCATGTTTTCTCCCATTTGTCCCCCCAAAATATGGTGTCTCATTTCCAAAATGAGAGACAATTATCCTACTTAAAATATCATTAAAAATCATGGCAACTCTTCTGGGTTCATAATTTGATTCAGCTCAGATAGTGAAAGTGGAGTTTCACATGCTGCAAATTGCTTTGTGACAGGCTCCCATTTCTTTCTTTTTTTACTGCTTATTTTATTAAAAATGGTATTTTAGTAGACTACAAGACAACCAAACAGAGTTTATTATGAAGGAACAATTTCGAGGAGTAGGGCTGTTTTTGAAGGAGTGGATTTTTAAAAAATGATCATCTCCTTGGTCTAAAAGTCAGACTACATCACTATCTTAGTGATAATTCTTGGCATTTTTTCCATTTTCTGAATGAAGAATGACTCACATTGAATTTGTACATAGATGACTGAAGTGATGGAACAGGCAGTTCAGTTTTCTTCACACATGAGATCAGGGAGGAGACATTACACTGGAGATTAGAGTCTACAGCCTAGTCTCCTTGCCTGTGACTGTATCTGGTTGAGTCTCAGCAGAAAGGCCCTCTGAGATTCTCCAAAGGCAAATTGAGGCAGGGCAAGCACGAGCCTCTGACAGGCATGGCAGAATTTTCCTTTATTACGTTATTAACTTGTTTTTAAAAATTTAGGAATGTTTTTAAAATTTTAGGAATGTTCAGTCTGAATTTTAGGAATTTCATCCCTTGAGATATAATTGTGTTCACAATGTCTTACTTCAGAAGGTCTTTCTACTTAAGAGATCGCATAGAGGGGCTGGGAAGTTGGCTCAGTGGTAGAGCGCTTGCCTTGCATGCCTGAGGCCCTGGGTTCGATTCCTCAGCACCACATAAGCAAAAAGAAAAAAGCCACAAGTGGCGCTGTGGCTCAAGTGATAGAGCGCTAGCCTTGAGCTGAAGAGCTGGGGGACAGCGCCCAGACCCAGAGTTCAGACCCCATGACCGGACCAAAAAAAAAAAAAGAGATCGTACAGATACTAGTTTATTTCCTTGTACTGCTTTGTAACTCAGTTTCTTCATAGATAAGTACAGTAGTGAAGAACAGAGACTACCTACATTTGATGAGTGATTCTAACATTCTGTAATCATGTGGCTTGATTAGTCTTTTCTAAATCAAACTTCCCCAACTGTAAAGTGGAGATAACTGTAGCACATATCACAGGTAATTTCTGGAAAATATTTTTAACCTGCCTCAGCTCTCTGAGTAGCTAAGATTACAGATGTGAATCCCTGACACCTGACTTAGGCTTTTTATTCCTATAGTCATGAGACTCAGGTTCTGGGATAAAGTGATTATCAGTGGTATAAACTCAGCAAAAAATAAAAGCTTTTCTAAATTGTATGTAAGGTCATTAACAGGACATTGTACACCAATTGTGTAACATTATATTAAACATAAAAGAGCACTTTAGAATGGGTCATAAAGTTCCTACTTTCATCCTTTATACTAATTAATGCTGTGAAAATTAGCAGGTGAAGGAGATACTGTCTAGAAGTTCACAGAACTGTGAGAATTCTGGAAAGACTTAGCCATACTTGCTGAATTTCTCAGAATTGGATAAAGATTATTACTGTTGTTGCCTTCTATATAAATTATGAAACATTATAAACATTGGAAAAACTATGGAGAAGAATATAACAACATTGTATAATTACTACTTTGTTCAAGCATTATAACTGATAAATACAGAGTTTGCATATACTTGGATCAACAAGGTTGATTATATCTAATGTCATTATATCATTGAACACACACACACACACACACACACAAACACACACGTCCCTGAGCTTTTTTGCTCAGGGCTAGTGCTCTATCACTTGAGCCACAGCTCCACTACCAGCTTTTTGGTAGCTTTTAACTGAAGGTAAGAATCTCATGGATTTCCCTAGCTTTGAATCACAAGCCTCAGATCTCAGCTTCCTGAGTAACTAGGATTACAGGCATGACCCATAGGCACCGGGATCACTGGATTTTTATTTATTTATTTTGTCTTAAAGATGCTAACTGCCAATTATTGGCCCAAAAGCTGTAGGTATGGACTGCCGGTACCCAAGACAACTGATGATCAGCAATTGAGTGAAGAATTCTACACAGTAGAGACAAAACTGACAGTGCTTTAATTCACTGGAAACTAGTTAACAATTATTGCAGGCACAGACTCTCTTGACTCGTCCTTTTGTAAAAGATGCCTTTCTAGACACTCAAATGACAAAAAGGCAAAACCCATACCTGTCGACGCTGAGCGCACAGAGATTGAGGACGGTGATCCCCACTGATGACTTCTGAAGGAAGGGGAACAGCTTGCAGAGGAACACACCGAAGTCATTGTGGTCAAAAGGCCAGCGCCCAGCCAGCAGCTGGAGGAGGTGGGGGAGGAAGACAGGGCAGAGCTGATGTGAAATGCATAGTTTTACTTAGTTCTAGTTACAAAGCACAACTTCTGAATTTTAGTTTCCTCCATGCTTTCCAGATAGCATGGTACCAATAGAGTATTACTGGCATTGTTTTTTGTCTTTCCTGCTTTACGGATTCAGCAGTTTTTGGTCTGGAAAGATATGGAGAATATAATGTTACATATAATAGGAAAGATATGGAGAATATAATGTTACATATAATAATGATTTATGTATCAATATTAGTAATGATGCCAAATATAGGCAGAATGCCCTAATATATATATAATATGCTCATAATATATTTTTATTTTATAACATCAGGTCTATATGATAATATAACTATATTCAACACAGAAGACACATTGTACATATAACATATATACTGTGTATCAAATGTATATTGTATAGTTTAGGCAGTGTATATATATCGCATCAGTGCAAGTCTTACCTGTTACTGTGGGTGAGCCCCTTACCTACTTTGAATCTCTATTTCAGTGTTAAAGGACCGGCTACCAAGGGGTGTCACATGATTTCAGAAGTTCATTTGGGAGATGCAAAGCAGGTCAGTGAAAATGCAAAAATTCTCTGCAAACTGAACATGTTCCATACAAATGCTACTTTGTAGTCCTAAACTAAAAATGTACCAAATATGTACAACTTACTAAAAATGATACTATAAGACAATATCACCCTTCTTTATCTACTACAGATGTTAATATCCTCTTCTACTTAATTACTTTTGTTATTATGGCATCTTAAATGGCACAAATAAAACTAGTGGCACATTTTCCTTTGTGCTATTTTTCCTTCCACCTCCTCTAGTCAGGTTGTAAAATTCTCTTCCTTTCATTTCACTCTTCTTAGACAGGAATGGGGGCATTTACGAGTACAGTGTATGTAATAGAAGAAAACCTCAAAGTTAATACAATGTTCCCTTCCATCAACCTGAATCATTGCAGGTTCACTTGGACTGGACATGACTGACCAGGCACCAGTCCTCAAAAAGTGAGTTTCTGATGTTTTCTTTCTTTCTGGCTGGTATATAGGAGTTGGTACACAGTCGAATCAGTAGTGAAGGAAAACATCTTCCAGTGGTAACAGACTGAGATGATTATAAAGCCGGGGTGCTCAGGGCAGGCCTTTTAATGAGCACATGCTCTCTGGCTTTTGCAAATCAAATCAGATATTATAAAAGAAATTACTCTGCATGACTGAGAATATTCCTTGCTGTTCCATTAGTCTTTAATTGCTTCAGGATTGCGGCAGAGCTTTCATGAAAATGTAATAAAAACTGGCTTCCATGCCATCAATATGCTTTTCCTTTGTCAGATTCTTCCTGCCTTCTGACCAGCCCAAGAATTGGAAGTCTGTGATAGGTAGGGCACAACAATGGCCCCCACAGTGCACTGGACTAGGCCTGCATGCCCTCTGTGACCTGGTTGGAGAGGGGGGTGGAGTAGAGAAGCCTTCCTTTTAATGAAAACCAGCGACTTGGCATGGTATGCCCCTGAAGCCTGACTCCCTGGACTGACCTGCATCTGAGCTCCACCATCTTCCTGACCCTATGACCTCAGCATTCTGGTTAACCTCTCTGCTTCTCAGTGACCCATCCCCACCTAAAATGGCTACAGCTTTGCTGGCTGCCTCAGAAAATGGCTATGGACATCAGAAGGGACAATCCATAAAAAGGGCTTAGCAGAGAGAAGGATCTGGAAACGTGAGCCAAACCCACGGATGGCCACACGTATCAGCTTCTACTCTTTTTTGGTCCCATTTCTCTAATAGAGTGTTCATTTTCTGTTACTGTGACGAAAGAGTTGACAAAACAAACTTATAAGGAGGAGAGGCTCACTTGGGGGTCTCGGTTGCAGAGGTTTTGGTGTGTGTTTGCTTGGCCCATTGCCTTTCAGTCTGTGGCTCAGTAGAGCGTCATGGTGAGGAGTGTGGTAGAGTAAAGCTACTCACCTCATGGTGACTTGGAAGCAAAGAGAGAGGAAGAGGAAATACCAGAGTCCCATAGCATCCAAGTCCACAGTGATCTAACTTACTCCCACCAGCCTCTATCTGACTTTCTGATAGCACCACAGGGTGGAGTATCAGGTGGATTTTGGGGGGACATATAAGCTCCAAATTATGGCCTATGGTACAGGAGGCTCATCCAGGCCTCATGAACGCAAAGGACTCCATTCCCAAGGAGTTCATGGACTACTGTGGATCCAGCAGAAGCTCGAAGCTGTGTTCTGTGGGAGCTCTCGTCAGGAGGCCATGTGAACTCGCAGCCAGGAACCTGGTGTGATTTAGATATGTTAATGGTGCCACAGTGAAAATTTCAGGTAAAAGAATGGCTGTATGCCCAGCGGTGAGTGGGAATATTAATAGACACAATGCACTGGGAAGAGGGCATAGTTCACAGAGCACCATCATTCCTTAAGAGCTAGAAGGAGAGCTGCTTCCTGTTCCTGTTTCTCAAGAGGTTGTTGCTCTTACTTGCTACCCACATCTTTCACTATTGAATATTCAGTGTTTTTGGTTGTTTTTTTTTTTTGCAGAGGCCTTAATTTTCTGGAATCTGAAATACATAGATGTTAATAACAACCAGGTGGGGGTTGGAAAAAAAGAGAGAGAAAATACTTTTAAGGCCAGAGCTCCAGACCCATAAAGTTTTCTTCCTTAGAGGAAAAGATGTGGGCTTCTCCTCCTCCAGAATCTCAGAGGTCTGAAGGATGGAAATCAACTTAGAAGTAAAGGACTAGAACCTTCTACGTATGTTGCATGCACAAGGCCAAAGGATCACTGAACAGATAAATACAATTTTAAAGCAGGAGAATTAGATATCCTCATATAAAAAGCACATAATTTAGTGTCCCATGTATGTGCCAGTACATAAAGGCTTAGTTCATAACGAAAAGAATAATATTTATGTTGCAAAGAAAGAAACCTGGCTTTGTCCCGGATGGAGAAAAGATTTCACATGCATGTTGTGAAAGAAGCACCACATTTGCTGGAACAAAGTGGGAGGAGAAATAATTATAGAAAATGAGTGCTCTAACACATAATGGAAAAAAATTATAGTTTACTTAATCATCAGTGTCTGTGATGGGATGTTCTAGTACTTCTTTAAAGCAAACAAGCAGGCAAAGCCAAAGCAGAATAAAACAAAACAAATGGGCAGATTTCCCCACATGTAGATTTGAGAAGTCATCACCCAAAACTTACCAGAGATGATGGCAGTGGCAAATAGGGAAAAAATGGGGCAACTCAAAGGTGCATGTGAAAACATACAGCTTAGGCATTGACTTAAAGTGTGAATTCCTAACAATTGAGCTCTTTGTTGTCAAGCATTTTGAGTGTTTACAATTACTCTGTGTGTGATGGAAACAATAAATGCATAAAGGCATGGTATGCAGCATTAAGAAAATGATACCTTGTGTGTTTTTGGAGGAAAAAGAGCATGAGAGATTGTAGTGATACTTTTAATATTCAGTAACAGAACTACAGCAGAGGCATACACTGAACGGCTCTTTCCCTGTCAAAACTCTGAGTTGCTGGGTGCCGGTGGCTCAAACCTGTAATCCTAGCTACTCAGGAGGCTAAGATCTGAGGATACCAGTTCAAAGCCAGCCAGAGTAGGTGCTTTGGGTCCTATGAAATGTACAGAAAGGTGAATTAGTTAGAAAAAGATGTGTGGTTCCCTGGGGCTGGGCATGGGAGTGGGGACTGAATGTAAGCAAGAATGAAGGACCTTGAAGATCATCGAAATGCTCTGAAATTGAATTGTGAGTGTTAATTGTACAATTCTAACATCACTGAAACAATTGGATTTATACATAAGTGAACAAATTTTGTAGTACATAGAGTATCCTTCAAATAGATTGTTAGAAAGATGACTAATCACTTTTGTCTGACTCCAGAAAACAAAACAAATAGTAATAGTGCATAAAACTTCTGGAACCAAGGCTGTATACATGGTCTTTGCCTATATTCATTCCCACTGAATACATTTAAGAAAACACCACCTTTCCTTAGGATATCCTTGCTGAAATACTGGCATTTATAAATTATGTATTCTCCAACCCTTTGGTACCTGGATTTGAACTCATGGCTTTGTTGGGAAATTTTATTTTTCATATTGTGACACAAAGTGACTTTGGACATTTTGAACATATTCAATATGGTTTTCTTTTTAAAATTAGACATGGAAAGCAGATTCCTTCTTAGATGTACTAGAACCCCCACACTTTATATGTAATCTAAAAAGACAAAGGGCTTCACGCTTACCATTCACACCACTATGGAAGGAGCCAGACACAGAAAAACACACACCACCCATTCACACTTCTGCTTAGAAGATAAAACAAAAACATATCTCATTTACCAGAGAGCAGAGCAGTGGCACACAGAGGCTGGGGGAGGCTGGAGGAAGAGAGGGTGGTTAATTGGTTCAGATGCCATGTTCTCTATCTCCTCCGGGAAGCTATGCTTGACAACACAATACCTAGTGGAAAGGATTCTGACTCTTCCCAACACCAAGACATGATGATGGAGATGGACGACTGAATCTGGTTATTACATATCACATCCATGGTTGAAATGGCACCTTACAACCTGTCTGCATGTACAAGTATGTGGTGACTGAAAATCATATAGGTATAGTGAGGATTTCTGACTTCTTTCATAATCATCTACCATCTGTTCTTGTTTCTTCAGTCTACTTTTCAAACATATATCTGGTAAGCCAGATGGAAGAGGGTCTAAAAGGCAACACTTAGCTTTCTCAGTAAGCCTGATGTTTCTACTCCAGCTGGATCTATGAGAATCATAGCTATTCATTTTCTGTATTATGTCCATGGACAAATTGCCCAGCCTCTCACATGATAAATGAATGGGACATTAGTTTGGCCAAAAAAATATTCCTCTGAGCAGATGTTTGTAGGCAACTACTCCATCAAGGAACTAAACCT